TAGCTCGTCTGTGTTGGGACATTCTTTTGAACAGTGGCTGCTTTGTTTCCCCGATGTATAACTGGTCGCAGTCCTCCTGGCACTTAACAGCACATACAACGTTGTTATGCTGTTATATGTTGTATATGATTTCATTAGAGAAGAACCCCTCCAGAGGACCTATACAATWTTTTTCTTTTTGATTTTTTACCTGGATTACTGAGATGCATCAGGACTTAACAAGTGATGGTTTCGCTTTGAAAACAAAAGTTCCTCACTCTAGCAGTTAACTAGACCATCAGTTCAATTCCAGCTCTAAATCAACATTTGACATTATTTTTTGTTGTTGTTGTTKTTTTTCTTAGGGTTACGCCTCCAAGGTCAGATTTGGATTTCGCCGCGTGAAGACCGCCAGGGAGCAGCTTAAAGAAGTAGCTTTTGAACCAACACATACAGCCATTAAAAGTAAACACTTCTGTAAATTATTCTTACATGTTTTGTCCTTAAAATTTGTTTCATTCTTTCCTCTTATGGTGCTTAAGTTTTGACAAAACACAAACAGGCCACAATCTTGATATTGTAATGACTTTAACTGGTTTGAAGTCTTTTGTTATTGTAAGCATAAAGAAACACTGAAATCCTTAATTAGGAAAAATGGTTCATGAAAAGTAAAGAATATAAGTAAAATTGTTTTTTTTTTTTTTTTTAATGTTGCTAGTTGACAGCATGGGAAGAATAATTCTGGCTGGATGTTCAGTCATGGGCCTTGGAGCTTTGTGCTACTATGGACTTGGCATGTCCAATGAAATTGGTGCCATTGAGAAGGCAATGTGAGTAACAGCTTGTTTTATCAGCAGCACTTTAATTTTATTGTGAATCCCATATTTCTCGAAAATATGTTTCGTATCATCTAAAGATTTATTTACGCTGTGTGTAGGATCTGGCCTCAGTATGTGAAGGACAGGATCCACTCGACCTACATGTACTTTGCAGGCAGCATCGGACTCACAGCTCTGTCGGCTGTAGCTGTGAGCAGAACCCCGGCGCTCATGGGTCTGATGACGAGAGGATCCTGGCTGGTGAGTTTCCTTTAATTTCAGTATTTAAATGAAATTAAACTAAATGCATAAAGATTTTGTAGATGGTTAAAAAAATAACTGAGATTTTAGACATAATTCATSTCAACAGTTTGTTTTTATGATTTCAGGCGTTAGGAGCAACGTTTGCAGCGATGATCGGTGCAGGGATGCTAGTTAGGTCCATTTCATACGAGCACAGCCCGATGCCAAAACATCTTGCTTGGATGCTTCATGCAGGTTTGTAGTTGAGTGCCTTGCATGAACTTGTTTTATTTCATTGTCTCACTCAGAGCTGTTGTTTCTATCATGTATTTGCCATGTTTAAGCACTAGAGGGCAGCAATATCAAGAAAACAATCAATGTTGTCTTATTTACGATTATTGCCGATTTTAGTTTTTTGTAATTATTAGTCTGTTGTCTTTTTTTCTTTGTGTTGATTAGGTGTGATGGGTGCAGTCATCGCTCCATTAACTCTCCTGGGAGGACCTCTGATGATAAGGGCTGCCTGGTACACAGCAGGCATTGTGGGGGGTCTTTCTACTGTGGCCATGTGTGCCCCAAGTGAGAAGTTCCTCAACATGGGAGGTCCATTGGCTGTCGGTCTTGGGGTGGTGTTTGCTTCTTCTATTGGTTAGTAAAATTAAACTTAACTTCCTAAACCTTTTCACTATAATATGTTACTAATTTAGGGTAAATAATATCCAGAGTAGTTGTTCTATACATACTAATTAGATACTTTATAAAATACAAATTTGTAAAATTGTACATTTTACTCAAAATAAATGAGTGACACAAAATGTCCAGGWCATTAAAAAAGAAGAGTTTGTCTATTTTAGTTTATCTAAGGAATAGTCTAAATATTGTACTAAATGAAAAATCTTATCTTGAAAGTCACATTGAATCCAAACGATTCTTACAACACTCTTTGTCTTCAGGGTCGATGTTCCTGCCTCCAACCTCAGCACTCGGAGCAGGCATGTACTCTATATGTATCTACGGAGGCCTGGTCCTGTTCAGCATGTTCCTCCTCTACGATACACAGAAGGTTATAAAGAGGGCGGAGTCCCACCCGCTGTATGGCGTACAGAAATTTGACCCCATAAATGCGTAAGTCACTCCAGGGATTATAATWTTTTTTTTTTCTATTGAGTACTTTTTGTAATGTGCTGAGTGTGAATCTGTTTTCGCCCTAACCCTGCAGGTGTATGGGGATCTACATGGACACACTGAACATTTTCATAAGGCTGGTGATGATTCTGGCTGGTGGCGGCAACAAAAGGAAGTGAAAATCAGGATGACTTCTGCTCCAATTTTTCTGTTCCACAAAATAAAGTTATGTTTATCCCAGTCAGCATCRCTGCTTTTATCTTTTAGACACAAGTCTGATGTGGCTGGTAGATGTTTGTCAAAGATGAAGATTACACTTTGATCTGCTTGTTGCAAGTTCAAGACAAACTGGTGTACTTTGAGGATGCTTTGAGATGGAGTCATTATTTGATCTTGAAGGTTTATTGTTTATTTGCTAAGGTTGCACGTCTTGTAAATCTGTCAATCATGTAACCGGGACTTTGTTAAATTTAGTTTTTCTATTTATTTCATTCAGCATTAAAGTCCCGTCGTTTAGAGGCAGAAATGTCAACCACAGGATTTTCCACTTWAGCAAAAGAGAATCTTACTAAACTGCATGTACTTGTTTAAAAAAAATCTGACATTTTACTTCTGTAACGGTAAAGATGTTGACATGTTTTGTTTGAATTTCCTGCAATTTGGGAATATTTCACCACCACTTAATAAACTAGTTAAAAATGATGGCTTTTGCAGTTTTGTGGCTTTAAGTGAAATTAATTTAAATCACARGGCAAATTACAGTACCACATGTAAAATAAGTCTCTCCACAAAGTTCAATTTTTGACAAATTGACTTGTTTTAATATCAGTGTCTACATAATGTGGTTTTTAGGGACCCATTTTTAATCGGTTTATGTTTCTAAGATTACATGCAGTATATGAATAATTTGCCTGCAAAATACAAGGTACATTTATTTAAAAAAAACTGATTTACTGTGATGGACTTGCAACTTGCACATGATGGATGAATGCAAGGAGTTTGGTGAGGCCATGTTGCCAAGATGGTGTTAAATTGTCCAAGTTTCAAGCGTTCAAATGTTCTTGTAAAATTCAGCAACCTGCACACCATGTTTTTGGGATAATTAACATTTAAATAYTATTTCAATCTTTTTTTATCTGCTTTAATTTACAGCTCTAACTAATCTAATAAATACTTGTGAGTTTTGAATTCTGCACTCTTTGGACCAGAGGGGTCCACTCGGTGGCTCATTTCCCCATAAACAAGTCAGCATGAAGCAGCAGATGACAAAAGCTTAGTGTAGTAATCCTCTTGTCCACCATCTGGCTGCTCCTCTAAAATTAAACTGTCAAACCAGGACACTTGCAGCAGATGCTAACATCTGTAAATATGCAGGTGTTTGGTTAAGACGTGTGCACGTGGGGCCCACAGCTACCTAGCAGCTGTGTGTTAAAGCTCCCAGATCATGTGCACGATTTGGACGTGTGCCATATAGGAAGACAATCTGAGGGGAAGGATGAAGGGCACAATAATGGATAGAATTTTCCAAAGCTACAGCGTGGTGTGCCATCAGTGGGGATAGAAACTGCCGTCTGTCAGTCATTTTGAGATTGATGACTAATAATTGGTTGAAGTCCAAGGTTAGAGGCTTGGGGAGGATTATGTGTGGGTCTGTAAAACAAGCTGAAAGAACAGTGTTTTGTAGTGCAGCTGCTTCCATGATTATGGAACAAAATGAATTTGATTTTCCTGCTCTTTCCATCAGGAGGTACATAGTTGCTATATAATTTGTTTTCCATCAGGAATGTTTGCAACTGATTTTAGTTTTTTAYAACAGTTTTATTATCAATGCTTATCAATCATTCACACCATTGAGATCCATTTTTCCTCCATACATTTTGCAGCATCTCATTCCACAATTTTTGTGCTCTTATAACAATTTATTCATCAGAACATCCAGCTTCTACATAAAAACTCCAGCTATGACTTTTGTTATTTCAGCAATTTATACTTCTTGAGATATTTAGCTTTTTCAACCATTTTTTTTCTTATTGAAAATGAATAAATTTGTCTTCAACATCATTAAAACCCTTTAAAATGTTCATAAATCTTCGCTATGTTTTTACTTTTTACCCCTTTTTTGTTCTGGTTCTTCTTTTTTAACTCCTTTATACTAATTTTAGATTCCTTCAGCTTCTATTTTGCATGTTTTCACATTTTTCTGCCTTTTTAGCTACTATTCTGACATTTTCTGCTGCTTTTCTGCTTATTTAAACTTATTTATGCTTCTTTGGCCCACTGTTTTCGGTGATTTTAGCTATTTTTAACTAATTGGAACTTTTTTCAGCTAATTTAACCTTGTAATAATTCAGCAAATGTGTTCTTTATGTTTCTTTGTGTTAATTTCAGCTACTTTTTAAAACAATTTTAGGCTAGTTTCAGCTTTTTTAGCTATTCAGCAAAAATCTTTCAACATTAAATGATCATATTGCATTTTGCAGGAAATGAAAATTTTTTTAGTTAAAAAATGTATTTATTCCAGAAGCCAGAAAATGTTCTAATTTATGTAATTAATTCACATATAATACAATCCAGTTAGAAGTGTTAAAAACTGCTGAGCCAGATGTAAATTTGATGAATCCATGATCATCCCAAAATAAACCACTCCAGGTTTGGATGTTTATCATCGCAGGATAAATGTGATCTATCGGGACAAATTTATATTGTTTGCCTATCATCGCTGTCCCTATGGAACTACTAGAGAAAATATCTCATTCGGTGCAACATAGTCACCAGATACTCTCACTAAAAGGTTTATAAGCCACTCTCCAAGAATATGGTGAAGAATGACTCATCAGACTGCAACACCTTCTGCTTTTCTCACATTTCTTCATTATGAAATCAAACAGGCACCAGTTAACCAGTGGGCAAAAGTGAAAGCTTGAAGCGGGTAACGAAGATGATGGATGGATGGATGGATGGATGGATGGATGGATGGATGGATGGATGGATGGATGGATGGATGGATGGATGGATGGAGAAAAACACATTGTAGTGATTGTATTTTATTTATTTTATTACTTTTTTTGCCAAAAACAGCTCTCAAATATGCATTTTATCATGAACGTGATCAAGACAAACAAGCTGATTGGAGTGAGAATGAACTGGGATTTGACATATTTCCTTTCTACCTTGGATGTGTAATGCTGGGAAACTATTTTTATACCTGTGAATCCAGCAGGCACACACTGCACCTCCACATGAGTCAGTATAGTTAACGCGCTTTGCAGAAACGTCAGACAAATGTGCACTTGCTTGACACCTGCTAGTGCGCACATTAAAAAAAATGAAGGTGCAAAATCTCTTTTCCGGCCAAAGTGGAAATTGCGACCAAAAATAACAATTATGACGTTTTTTAGGTGTCATCAAGGTTGTAGGATGAAAGCGTCACAACTCAAGTGTGAAGTTTTGTTTAAATGGGATCATAAATAAACAATCACTTTGACCTGATTAAACTACTGGTGATTTAAAACAACAGTGGAAACATATTCTATTTTTTAATGCAGTTTTCCTTTTAAGATATTGATAAAACAGTCATCAGTTTAGGGGAGACCGGGGACAGTTGCAACACTTTTTACATTTGACCCTGTTAGCTGAGTACAGAGAGCTGGTGGACCGCTTTGTGACATGGTGTGGGGACAATCATCTCATCTTGAATGTGAACAAAACAAAGGAGATGATTGTAGATTTCAGGAGAAATAGTGCTAGATCAAACCCTGTTTCCATCATGGGAGAAGAAGTGGAGGTTGAGGAATATAAATACCTTGGTGTTCATCTGGACAACAGACTGGACTGGAGACTCAACAGTGAAGCAGTCTACAAGAAAGGACAGAGCAGATTGTACTTCTTAAGGAAGCTGAGATCCTTCAATGTCTGTAAGATGCTGCAGATCGTCTACAAGTCTGTTGTTGAGAGCGTCATCTCTTCTGCCATCATCTGTTGGGGCAGCAGCATCAGAGCCAGGAACCTAAAAAGGCTAAACAACCTGATAAAGAAGGCTGGTTCTGTTCTGGGGACGACTGTGGAATCTCTGGAGATGATGGTGCAAAGAAGGATTTTACATAAAATCAAGAACATTGTGGACAACCCTGACCATCCTCTTCATCAGACTGTCATAGAAAGACAAAGTGTCTTCAGTCGGAGGCTTCTTCAACTTCGTTGTAATACAGACCGCTACAGAAGATCTTTCCTGCCCACATCCGTCAGCATCTACAATAAGTTTTTAGTTAAATGAGTTACAACAACACCTAATTTCCCTCTGGGATCAATAAAGTATTTTTTGAATTGAATTGAATTGAATTGAATTACTCAGAGATGGTTTGAATTAGACAAACCAAATTTTAATACAATAAAATTACATCTGTCTATTAATACTCAAAATCATTTATAGGTGATTAAAGCATGTACATTCTTCACAATTTGCTTTTGAAAATGAAAAGTCATATGTTGCAACTGGCCCCGGGGTCGGGGACAGTTGCAACATTGTCTGGGGGTGGTTGCAACATATTATTAATACAATATATTTCACTGTAAATAAAAGTTTTATTATTTTTATTATTGCTAAATTCATAAGAACTGTAAGTTATAATGATATTACAGTGTTGTTTATTTATAGTTTTTGATCAAATGATGAATATACTGTAGATTTGCCTTGATGAATAGACCTTATATACAGATGTCAAAGACTCAAACTGATATAAAATACAGTTGGCTTTTAGAGATGAATAATAAGACAATTTATGAGGCGATTAACTTTTGTTTTGCCTATTGTCACTCTGTGTCTACATTATGCTAAATTTACATTGAAAGAAACTGGGATTTTAAAACCATTGTTGAAAACAACAACTGCAGAAAATACATCTTATACACTTTTGTGTTTTAAACTATAGAATTGTCATGAATACCCARTACCCTTTTAAGTWTAAACTTAATTTCAACATTTTAATATCATCTTTATGCTCTGTTTGGACATGGATTTATCATTCCTGTCAGCCATGATATAACCTCATGTGTTAGCTAAATAAGCTGATCTTGATGCTATATTAGTTAAAAGTAAACATATCACTTGTTTAAACCACATAAGTTTGAGCTGGATCACAAAAACAGTCACAACAGCATAAGATAAATAAAGCTGGGCAAAAAAAAAAAAAAACAAACAAAAAAAAACGTTGGTACCTCAAAAACAGTTTTTTTTCCAAATAAATCCTGGAGCAATTTTTGAATCTGCTTACTTTTTCTCTGCAACGTGGGTCATCTAACTGAGCACGTACATTGTGAGTGTCATCACTCTAGCTGGTTTCTGTTTGGAGAAAAATGACGTGTTGCTTCTGTCCTCGGTGTCCTCTACATCAGACACGTTTGTGACGATTAGTGACCCTAAATGTCAGTAAGTTTCTTGGAAAAGGGGCGGAGAAAGTTAGGATATCTTATCAGTGAGGGGCCAAACAAATGAAGACAAATAGATGCCCGGGAAGCATTGTTAAGGCTTTCAAGCATGTAAACAGTGCTGCGAGTACTAAAWTTTTAAATTATCAGTGATCACGGATGCAGAAACTCAAGCAGTCATCACCACATGTGTGCTGAGGTGTCATTTTCACACCACTGCGTGTGCGCGTGTGTGTGTGTGTGAAACCTGAAGTCTCATCTCCCCATGTGTAGTTGTTTTAGGATGGCTCTGGAGTGTGAGCAGTGAGGCAGAAGATGTCTGCGAAGAGGAGGGATGCGTCACTGGATTAGTGCCTGAGAATCTGCCCCAGACTCTTCTTCCCTCTGAGCCTGCTGAGACGCCTCCAGAAAGGGCACGACACTCGCCGCTCGCTTTCCCCTCCACCAAGCCTTCCACATGAGCCAGCCAAGCCTTACCTCCGCACCAGGATGAAGAAAAACAAGAAAACACGTGTATTCCTGTTTCTCCTGCTGCTTCATTACAGTTCAGGTAGGTTTTTCTTGTGTGTGTGTGTGCGTGAGCTTGTGTGTGTAAGGATAAGACTTCTTGGCTTGCTCTTATCTGTTTAATCCTCTAACACAGAGAGGGCACGTTGGTTTTACAGTGTTGTGCTGCCTACAACTTGTAYAAATCAATCTGGAACAATTGTTTTGTTTCATTGTTGAGAGTAAAACCTCAAATTCAAACATATTTTGATTTAACTAAGGCTTTTTATTTCTGCTTATTTTATAATTGCATCAGCATTCTTGATGAAAAACATTCGATGTTAAAATTTATAGGATTTCTGAGACGTCAAATTCATAGAGTAGCTTTAATTGTTTTTGTTCCCTTCTCTCCTAAATAACTTGGACCTTTTTTATTTGCTTTACAATAAAGGCCAATCAGATTACGCTCCATATTTTTATGACAATGGACCGAGCAGCACAAACGGGAAYATGGCCTTGTTCAGCATCTCAGAGGATACACCTGTTGGTACGTTTCCCCTGTTGTTTTCAAAATGACTGTTATTGTTGTAGTTGAGTAATTTGAGGAAGACTTTTATGTATTAGAGGATGCTTGGTGTGATCGAGAGTGAAAAGTTTTCCTGGATGTGCATGATTCTCCTGCTAATCACYGTAATACCTTTTGGATTGTGACGTATGACAGGACTAACAGGAAGAAAACAATAGGGCTGGTGGCTCACTTGATCACCACACATACAGTATCTACTTTTTAATTTTTTTATTTTTTTTAACATCTTGGCTTGTGGATTGATTCTCATAGGAACACAGATATACGTCCTGAATGGGACGGATCCAGAAGGGGATCCGGTACGATTCGGTCTCRCTTTTGAAAAGGGCTCCACAGAATATTTCAGGGTGGATCCCAAGTCTGGAAACGTGACTCTGAGTCAGGAGCTCGACAGAGAGGCAAGCCTTAAACATTAAAACCTCTTCGATTTAAAAYTGTGGCTTTTTGGCCACATCAATAAAAATGACAAAATACATTTCTTTCTTTTTCTTATAGAAGCAAGATGAAATCTCAGTGATAGTGAGCATAACAGATGGCCGCAACAAAGTAAGTTTTACTGAATTTGCATTGCTGTTTGCTATTATCATTATATAGTACTTGCTTTCATGAACACTCTAAAGTCTTGTTTTATTTTAAAATTTATGGCAAAAAAAATCTGACAAAGTTAAGAAAAGAAACCCATTAAACTGCATGGACAATACAGAATAAGCAGGATAAAACAAAAACTAAAGGAAACATCAGATTTGGCSAAACAGGGCATCAGCATTTATTATCGTCATCTGCCAATGAAGAAAGGGTGATAATAAATAGATGTCCACGTGTTTGTTTCTGTTTGTGTTAGCAACATTTCTAATGAACCGTTGGCCAACTTTTACTGAAACTCCCATAATGTAATCATTGAGTGTTCACAACTGATCACCTTTTAGGGTCARCTCAATTCAAGATGGCCACCACAGTTACGCAWTCTRAGCAAACACAAAAAGGGCTCTAATTCAGTCAGTTTTATACATGATAGTAGCTGAGTCATCCACAGTACATACAGTAGRCCTATTCCAAATGCTAATATATTTTTGTAAACGTTTGTGAAATTAACATGGGCATAATTTTCAGGGGGATTTAGGGAGGATGTGACCCCTTGAACATTACATTAGATTGTGTGTTTTTAAAAGGTTTGACTAAACAAATATATATGTATCTCATCATAAGATGATTTTAGTTTAAAACCCTGGCATTGAAGGGTACAGCTGACATGCATTCCTTTACAAAATACCAACCCACCAAATGTTTTTGTTCTCTCTTCCATAACATTTTATTTTAGTACAATTTGACATCATATTTGTAATAAATAAAAGTTAATAAAGTAGTCTTCATGTTGTTTTCAGGTTGTTGAGACAGTGAGAGTGTTTGTGACGGATGCCAACGATGAGCCTCCCGAATTTCAAAACCTGCCTTTTATCATTGATGTTCCAGAGGTAAAGCATCAAACTAACACACGAGCTCTTAGGAAGCTTCTATACATGAAAATGAGGCAAAAAGAAATCTGAAAACTTACTGTCTTTTTACCAGGACACTGCCCCAGGAAGCAGCATCTACAGAGTCCGTGCTGTGGATAAAGACATGGGTTCAGGCGGCAGYGTTTCATATTATCTACAGGTAATTTTTGTTGCTCAGGTGATGACAAGTTTTTAGAAGCATCTAAGCACCAAATGTATGTGATTCTTTATTTGGTGAAATTTCGAAGTTCAAGTGAAAACGTTTCATTCCAGTTCATAATCTGTCAAAAATAATGTTCCCCAAAATATTAAACCTTCAATCTGTTCATCTTAAATTGTACATTTTTCACTGTCCAATTGACCTGTATGCTCTCTTAATGGTAACAGCAAAACATTTGCAGAAGTTAACTTAAAGTCACCTGAGTTGAACTTGAGTCAAATGAGTCTAATCTTTTTTATGGTATTTAGTTAAATTTAGAGTTAAATGCTTGGACCTTTTCATGGCATTTGACTTTATTTCCAGTCAGACCTCAGCTTGACTTGAAAGTATCAAGAAGGTTTAAGTTTCATGGCTGCTTTCCCGCCGCTTGTTCGCCTTCGTGTTGCTTTAGAAATGTGTTCTTTCCAGCATAATCCTAATCCAACCATGGACTCTGTTAGCTGGTTTGATACGACCCTAACATTCAGGGTTACAAGCAAAGGTCAAGCTGTCACCGGGAGAGCAGTTCTGTCATGTGGAGGGAGGGAAGGGCCTTTCAGGTGATGGGGGGTCAGTGCACATTGGGAGGGATTAATCTTCCGCAAGAGAGCAGTCTGGAAATGCCATCACTTTAGTGGATTAAATTTCAATTACATTTGTGCACAGCATTGAGGAATTAACAAGGGCTTAGGTTTGACCACTGACAGCGTAGTGGCTGTTAATGTTCACATGTCAACTGTCRCATTTAACTATTCGTAAATAAAAAGGTTTAACTGGAGCATGTTGATGGCTAGTACTGATCAGAAGTATGTTTTGCTCTTGATTGTGTCATGGCAAAAAGATGAGGCAGCTTGTGGGTTTTWAACCATTTGTTACACATAAATGTTGCAGAAAATCCTAAGGATGACACCATTCTAAGCAGCAGAATCCATCCAACCTAAGAATAAGAGAGAAGAACAAATTAATAAGATACAGATGAGGTTGCCAGTCTCTTTAAAAAGGGCAGCTTGACCTAACATCAAACTGTGAACAGATGTGTTCTATACATGTTGTCTCCCAATGAGGACAACTCATTAGACCCTGCCAGTCCCATTAACTGTTTGACTCTTTACGCCTTTAGAGTTCCTCATTTGCCAAATTCACCATTGATGGACACAGTGGGATCCTCAGGGTCAAACCAGGCGAGAGTTTGGACTACGAAACCACACTGACACATTTCGTGACGGTGGTTGCAAAGGTGAGAGGCTGATCCCGCACACATGCATCAGCACCTCAGCTCGCTGACTCTCAGCTCGCAGTTACATTTGTGTGTTGTAATGTTTTACATTWAAGCCTCATATTTTAGGAAGTGTTTTATGTCAAAATTATGAATAAATGCACTTGACTCATGAAAAATCTAAGAACTTATTAGTGTTTTTGTTAATAAAACCTTATGGAGGCTGCTGAGTTTTCATTAACTCCTGCAAAGTGAGGCAAGTTCTTTCTCCCAACACTTTCTCTATTAACACTACTCCCACATAAAGGAATACATTGACAGCCTTTTGCATTTATTTTTTCTTGGCATTTGCTTCTTAAATGCTATATTTATATAAAAAAAATAAATAAATAAATAAGTAAAAAAACATTTTTATTGAAGCAAAGTCAGGCAGGAACAGACAATCAAAATCATTGTCAGTATCTAAAATGCATTGATTCCTTCAGTAGCAGCGAGTCAACCCCCCCTAACAGGACATTTAATATATCTTGATGCATCTCAGTAATCCAGGTAAAAAAGAAAAAAGCAAAAAATTGTATAGGTCTTCTGGACGGGTTCTTCTCTAATAAAACGTTTCGTCTCTCCTCCAAGAGACTTCTTCAGTCTGAGAGTTTCAGGCAAAATTCAGGCTTTTTAGCACTGCCTCCATGTGACTGATACTCACATCACATGGCTATCGTTGACACCTAATTAATAACACATTTAATATAAAATATAAAAGAAACAACGTAGTGTTTTTAACCCCCAACATGATTTCAACTAACACGATTCCTCACGCTACACATCGTTATTTAGTTRTGGAAATTTTAATTGTGTTTTCTTTGAGTTAGTATTAAATATGATCAGTTAAGTGCAACAACTTTGCCTGTTTGTTTTCCAGGATGGAGGTGGGAAGTACAAGGGGAAACACCAGGTGTTGACATCCACAGCCACAGTAACAATCAATGTTCTGGATGCCCAAGACATGCCCCCATCCTTCGTAGGAACTCCATATTTTGGTTACATTTACGAAGTCTCCGTTCCTGTAAATATCTTTTTCTTTCTTTCCCAGCCTTTATTTGAGTCATATTGTTGCTTTTCGTTACAAAAGACAATACGTTTGTTTCATCSCAGGGATCAGAAATATACACAGTGTACGCTAAAGATGGAGATCAAGGCAATCCCAACTCKATACATTATTCCATTATAAATGGTAACAATGAAACAAATGGCAAGTGACTCTATCATTTTAAAATCTTAAATTCATTACAAACACAGCGTTTCTGGTATTTCACAGGCAGTGATGGTGTTTTTGAAATAAATAGCACCAGCGGATGCATCACTCTGACAACCAACCCATCTTTGCTGGAAAACGAGCTTTATGAAATAAAAGTTAAGGTAATATTATTGCGTTTTATATTTTTCTCATTCACTCGTTGGGGATTAGCCTTGAAAACCTTGTTACTTCACTGCTTCTGTTTGTCATTTAAATCCAGGCGTCTGAGGTGGGGCCGAACAGCAAAACGCTGGACTTCGACATCACCACAGTGACGGTGCGGGTGGTGGATCTAAACAACCATCCTCCGACCTTTTATGGCGAAAACGGACCACAGAGCAAGTTTGAGGTCACGATGTACGAGCATCCACCTGCAGGGGAGATCCTCCGAGGCTTTAAGATCACTGTCAACGACTCTGATCAGGTGGATTTATCAACAAAATCCTCACATCTTTTTTTTTCTGATGCGTCATTTAGTTTGTATGTGTTTGTTCTGCCAGTCTGTTWATCAGTTAATTATGTGGTTATGCAAATTTATATCAATATGTTCAGAAAATCTGTTGGCCTTCATGTTTATTCTCTTCATCTTGCCTCATGCAACGTTAACACCATCTTATTTCAATACTATATAAAATAAGGGAATTGTTTAATGATAAAACYTTGTATATGTTRTATAATRTAATGATTGTTCCASATTTGGTTTACTGTGTTGAAGTCTGGGGGAAAGCGTGTAGMACAATTACAAATCCTGTTTTTATTTTGCRGAAAAGAGCCATAATAATTATCACAAAAAAACATGATTAGCCATCAAATACATTATTTTGTCAGTTGAAATTATTGAAATTCTATGAGTTGGTTGATTACAACATTTTGCAGATTATGTATAAGGCTCATAAAAATAWATTACCTTTGAACATCCAATCGRATTTTGTTAAGAGACAAAGTTAATACAATCTAAAAGGGACAGAGGTGTTGGTGAAACCTAAAATCCGAACTAGTTTGAAGGAACGATGTACTTCAGTGTAAGGAATAAAATTGTGGAATAATCTGGAGTATGATATTAAAAGAGCAGGATCAGTGTATAAGTTTAGGAGAATGGTAAAATCCAGTCTGTTGAAGAAATATGAAATGACACAATTTGTATCCTTAAAAATTGTCTGAGAATGATTTTAGTTTTTTATTATTTTTTTCTGTTTTTATTATTGTTTGAATTTCTTTTGATGTAAAAAGGCACAGATATTATAAGATTTTTTTCTTCCTTCTGCCACCTTTCATTTTATTTTTCATTTGTATTTTTTTGCACAGTGAATATGCTTTGTTTTTTAATTAAATGAATGAATAAACTAATTAATTAATTAATATGAGTATTAAAAATTTAAGGGGCACACAACGAATCAGATGAGCTCTCACAGTTTGGCTTCACCCTCATTAACTCTACAATTCTTATGGTTTTAGGGAGCAAACGCTAAATTTAAACTGAGGCTCGTGGGGCCGAGCCGAGTGCTTCGTGTCGTTCCTCAAACGGTCCTAAATGAAGCTCAGGTGACCATCATCGTAGAGGACACGTCTGGCATCGACTTTGAAAAGGGCCAGACCCTCTCTTTCAAGGTGAAACCTCAGCTTTTATAGTTGATGCAAAATAGACTGTCATAAAGTAGTTTTTTAAAGAAGTCAAAGCTTGTTTTTGTGGGTTTCAGAGTTTATTTTTTTCTTTTTGCAAATAAGTATTGTCTCACAGAGTTGCCAATCAGCCACACATTTAGCTTCAGTTCTTTGACTGTTTGTCTCTCTGCAGCTGCTGGCGGTGGAGATCGACACTCCCGAGCGGTTCAGTGCCACGGCTGACATCGTGATCAACCTGCTGGACACAAATGATAACGTCCCCTCTTTTACATCCGAGTATTACATCGCCAGAGTGCCCGAGAACTCTCCGGGAGGCTCCAGTGTTGTGTCTGTGACGGTGAGTCAGTTGGGATTAACCCTGTTTTYACCCAAACAAAGTGAATATACAACATAATCAATCTATGTATTACTGCAAACAGTTTGCCAGGTAAAGGCAGGACTAYGCAGACAAAAAATACTGKATTTATTCATATATAATACTAGACATTTAACCCTAAAAATCATCCATRACGTGGGGTGGTAGTATTAYACAYGGATCACGGATGATYGATAATTAGATTTTTAATGCTTTTTAAGCTMAAAAAAA